TGGATAAGGTTAATTTCCAACAGGATAATAATAATGACCCTAAACACACTTCTCATGCTGCTCAAAAGTGGTTCAAAGACAATGGTGTTGAGGTGCTGGTCTGGCCTGCACAGTCACCAGAGCTAAATCCCATTGAGCATTTGTGGCAACACCTTAAGCAACGGCTTGCCACCTATTACTATGAGACTGGCCCCATTAGTATGCATGAGCTGTGGAAATGTGTGGAGGCTGAGTGGAATAAGATTCCACCACAAATTTGTATAGATTTAATCACAAGGATGCCTAGACGTGTTGCTGCTGTTCTAAAAGCCAAAGGTGGCTATACAAAATATTAAATAAAATGTTATTTTTAATTTTTTTAATATGAGTTACAAAACTGGCACAATGCACTGATAAACTTTAAACATTCATAACTCAAAAAGTTTCAAGTCTTTTTCAATAAAATAAACTTGCATTACAAGCCAGAAAACAAGACTATATTTCTTTGAATGAGACTAATACTAATACTAATCATCTAAAAATTGCTTCATATTCATTGTGCACAACATCCATTACTATTACTATATCTGCTATTTCCTATTATTATGCCAACATCATTGAAATACATATTAATATTAATATTGCATGTGTTGTTTTACCATTTGGGGTTTCACTGAGTCTGAGAATTACAAAAAGTAACCTACATCCTATTAATTTTTATACTTTCTCTTGAATAGTGTTAAGCATGTCATGTGCATCATATTACATATTAATATATTAATATCATATACATAGTAATAATCTGAACTTGTTTCCAAAAGGTTAAGAAAAGTTTCCTCACATGTCTTGATATTGAAGCAGTGTTCAATACAATACCATTTAATATTAAATACGCCCAAATAGATTTGTTTAATACAAAATTTTTGAAATTGCGCGCACCTTGTGTGATTATTAATTATAATGCATGAGAATAATTTATCTGATAAAAATTGAATGACTGAGCATCTCACCCATCATAACAAATATTTGTGCAAAATGTCACTCTTTATCTTGTTGTCGTGCTTTGAATGGTGATTTACACTCATAACAGAATACATGTATCAGTTTCTTAACTGACATGTACATATACAGGCTAGTACTAGACATAACTACTATAATATACTAGAATCTTTTTCCTTCCTGCATCATATGTAATCCCAAACATTTAGAATATTTTTATAGTCTTCACATAACTAGTAAAAATAATACAATGTCAATATTATTTTAACAATGAATATACATGATATATTTAATATTCACAAAAAAAATTGGAAATATAAAACCTGATGCAGAAGAACAACCAGTAAATGAAAATAAACGTGGAATAGCTCATTTGAAATGTTAAGACGTCTGGATTTATTTAGCTATATATTAATATGGTATCCTTTCACCCTGTTTTTCAATAACAAGCTCACAACGTATGAAATAACCTATTGTGCTTTTGACCTTTTCATTGAGTTAACTAAATTGATTAGAACCATATCGGGAATTTTTTGTTCCTAAATTGCACCAAATTACCACGCTTTTTCGATAGTCTTTTTTCTACGTTTGCTTTGACAATGTTCCAGAAAATTTCAATTGGTTTAGATCCGGACTGTTAGATGGCCAGTCCATTAAGTTGGGCACATTATTGCTGAGAAACAATTTGGCAATTTTGCTGGTATGTTTGGGGTAAAAGTTACATAATAATACCAAAATAAATCTTTATTATATATATAAAACAAAACTTCGCGTTTGTTTTGAATTATTTGCGACGCAATTTGGATCCAAATTGGGTGAGTTAGAACTGTTTACATTACTATTACGCGATAATTTTTCCCATTCGCCTTGTCATTTATATCAAGAGAGATTATCTCTACTTGTTCATACATGCTGATACTATCCAAGTGTATACCGTTGATGTCATCAGTTGGAATCCATTCCAAATAGTACCATTGTCATTCCACATTTAATGTCACGGCTGATGCTGAAATCCGCTGATGCTGAAATCCCCGTGACCGATTTTCTGTTACATAATCGTTGCGG